TTGTTGGTATGGCAGCCAAATGGAATCCATTTCAGGATTCCATAGACGTGTTGTAAGCAGGATGGAGAAGTGGTAAAACCGTGTTCAGGTCATTTGTATCCCTGAATAAACGAAATGCAGAGTGGTTGTACAGGCTTTATTTTTAGGGCCAATATTCATATTTCTATTTAAAATATTTGAAATACTAAAGTACTTTCAAAGAATATTTTTATTGGACAAGTATTTAATATTGTTTGTATGTTTAAATCGCTTTATTGCAGCAAAAGTATCTAACCTCAACCTTCTTTACAATCATATAGTTAACAGGCAATATATAGGGCGTTTCTCAGGAAGGGATTGTCAACTAAGTTGATGTGATCCTTCTGTTTTATGATTCATTATTTCCAACATGAATAACTTAGAACGTTTCAGAAACACGCCAGAGATTCAGAAGTCATACTCTCAGGAAAAGCAAAGAGGTGTTTAAAAGTGGAATGTGATGTAAATATATGCTTACACCACAAATAGTAATTGGGGTTGGCACAATGCTGGAATTATGCCTGGAATTAATGTATTTCTCGTGCTTTTCAATGGAGCTGGAATCGTACTCAGTTCTGTTTTATTACATGAATGACAATCATTTAACTTAATATTTCGGGATGTTTCATTAGTCAGTTTTTAATTTCTAAAGACTTCTCTTGTAATTTTGGATTTAATTAATAGGCAGCCTACAACAACTCTGATGCGTGCTGCTAGGAGACAAGGAAAACAGGAATAGGAAATACAGTTCTCTGAGTTTCATTTGGCCTGGTTTTATGCAGTTTTGAGGAGAAACAGCTCTCCTCTCCTGTTGGTCACCTGTTCCCAACACTGCTCCATCTGTGCCAACCTGATACAAAGATCAGTAGCATCCAAACCCCCTTGCTTTCTAACTTTCCTCACCGAAGTGGGAAGCTAGGTGCAGCTGGGTAAGGAGTCAGATACAATGAAACTCAATAACAACAGAATGTTATTAAGCAGGCATTCTTTGTAGCGCTGGGCAGCACTGGGGATAGCTCCACCATGAGTGCTCCAACGATGTGGTAAACTTCCAGAGATTATATAGCATAAAGTTATACATATTCATAGGATTTCGAGAGTTTGTTTACGTAAACGTGAGAATTCCTGGAACTCATTAATATATGCAAGTGTCTGATCCACATTCACAGTCCTCTTCTCTGGTGGTCCTTTGTCTTGGCTCATCACTGTTGCAAGTTCCTTATCTTGGTCTTAATTGGCGTCTGTTGGTTTCTTTGTGCTCCTCAGGATGTATCAGTCACAGTTGCAAATATCATGTAGATTGTCGTGTCCCCCCCCCTAGAAAGACTAGCTTAGTAAAAAAGGAAAATAAATTTTTTCAGAAAGATTAATTTGCTTAGCTGGGTTAGCATGCAGTTTCATGAATGTCTTGGCACAAATAAGGCTAAAGAAATAAGTAGATGGGGCCTTGCTTTTAGGACCGTTACTTAGAAAGACTGTGAGAACTACCCTTTCCACATGTGGAGTAGGTAAGGCAAAAGGTGAGGTTTATCTCAAAACAAATTGAACTTGAAACTATTGTTTTATTTTTCTGTGTAAGGTTGCTGAAAACCTTTACAAAATATTTTTGCTTAAATAAAAATAAAAAGCAGAAGTAATGTTAAGGTACTAGATGTTTACTAGCCTTTAATTTCCTTCTTAAATATGCTAATATAAATTTAGAGTTAGAAAAGAAAATGAGAAAAGACTTGAGAGCTCTTACTTGGCTCACGTTATGCATGACTTGGACTTTGCCAGCATGTGTGATCTGGAGCAAATGAGCACAACTTCTGTAATTCTGCTTCTGAATTCGTACAGTGGACAGCAGTGTAGTGCTTGATTATCTCTACTAGCTTTAATGAACTGGCTTGACTACTGGGGAAGTTCAGTTATAGCTGCCTGGGGCTCCAAGGAAACTAATTTACTCCCTAGATAACATGTACAAGTAGGTTGGGTGGAGCTCTGCACTGTTGAGTTCTGGCAGCATCTGGTATATAAGGCAGCTCAGTTAAAAGTAGTGTCAGTATCACTTTGTTATGCTGCTTTGTGCGCTGAATAGACATTCTACGCGGCAGCGCTGTTAGTTTTCTGTATGCACATAGGCTGTGTCCACCCTTTGATAGCTAGATCACTTTTTACACTAAGGTTGCTTAGTCCTGTGTTTTCATACCACTCTGGCTTTTAACTTTAAAGCTTACTTGGAAGTAACTTCTTTTGGAAAAGTCTTACTGGTCATTGAATCAAATAGGGGCCCCCACTGTTTTTTTATTTGTTTCTTTGGTCATAAACACTGTACAGAAGAGTTCTGTTGACTGAGATATGTACGGTTATATGTACAGAGCTCAGTATGAACTCATAGTCCAGTTCTGCGGTGCTTTAGGCTTTTTAAATTAACTGGATATACTTAAGCAAGTGCAGAATCTCTTTAGAGTTGGGGTATGCACCTATGCAAAATAATCACCATATTACTGAAACCTATGCAGTGTTTATTTAATACTTTCTTGAGCAAAAGTGTTAAAAAAATTACTGTACATTTTTCAAAAGCTAAGCCTAAATTTAGTGTCCAAAATCCATTTAGACTTTTAAAAAGAAAATGTCATTCAGAATCCACAACTGTCTTTAACTGCAGCATTTCTTTTATATCAACACACTCATTATTTTCTTAAGAATCTTGAATGAGTTCAGAAACAGAACTTTGGGTATTACCTGGTATGAGTTGAAGTACTAATTATCTTGAGAGGCAACATTCAGAGAACTATAAGTGTTTGTAAATGGTTTGGAATGAAAGCGGTGGTGAAATAAAATCTCTTGCGTGGTTTCTTGATGTATGGAGCATTACAGAAATTCAGTTTCACTTTTCAAAAAAACCACACAAAATCCAAACAAAAAGCCCTCAAACAAATGGAGTCATCCTGAAATAGACTTCTATGGAGACCAAATGGAGATTCCTGAAACAGGGTATTATGTGGTTGAAGGTGCATGAATGAATAGAAGTATGGAGAATATTTAATCTTCAGTAACTGGAGGTTACACAATATATATAGAGGTGTGTATGTAGTCCCTCTAACCTTTTTGCCTATGTACTTTCTGGAATTTTCTATATTTTAAGGGAATAGAAACTGATAAGATGCTTCCCCCTTGCTGCTCTGAGTTTACTGATATGTGACATCAAGATTGCAGTTAGTGGAAATGGTTTCAGTTATTTTCTGGTGTGTATCTGGGGATATTTCTTAAATTTCAGAAATAAATTTACCAATGTTACCACTTTATTTCTGTATTTCTTTTATAAAGTGTCAATAAAGCTGATTTAGAAACCCTAGAGAGAACAGTAATAGGAAATGAACTATCAATATTTAGATAGAATACTTTTGCTTCTTATGGTATTTCTAAACAGAAGGCAAAGGGAGTATACCAAGTGACTTTGGATAACCAATATAAGTGATATTTTTACCTCTCAAGTGATTGTGGAGGAAAAGAAACAATTTTAATAGTGAGAGAGGGAGATTTATTAGAAGTGTTGTTGATACATGAAAGTTACTTACTGATAAATGTGAACTGACTAAAAAAGCCACTCACTGAAAAGGATTTGTTGATATTATTGAAATATGTACTTGAAGTTACTTGCATGTGTAGATTTAATGAGTTTCTAAATTTATTGATTAATATTTATTATTAATAATTGAATGCTTGTGATTTTAGGTAAAATTTGGAAATACAACATTTAAGACAGATGTGTATCCCAAATCACTTAATCCTCAGTGGAATTCTGAGTGGTTCAAATTTGAAGTAAGTATTTTTTAAGAGTTTGCCTGTGTCTATGTAGACACTCTGGTTTAGATGCCCTTAATGAAATAATTTCATTTCAGGCAGAAAATGAGTTTTCAGGAGTGAAGTGTATTTTTCTTTAAATACACATGAAGCCTTTTCAGCAAACCTATCTACAGTTAGACCTTGTTTGCTAAAGGTGTCTCATTGGCTTTTTAGGACTGTTTGTAGAGATAAAAGCTTACCAGGTTGGATCCAATTCAAGTACTATTCTGGGTAATGCTAAAAAAGACAAGACAAAGGTGAAAGTGGGGGGGGAAATAACATTATGGATTAGGCTTTCAGATATCGGTACGAGTATGCTTGTATTTTTTTAAAGGGGTAATTTTGAGTAAGGAAAGTTAATTGGTATTTGAAATGTTACTTTGGATTGTAAAAATAGTACATTTGACAAAGAAGAAAATGGAGAATTCCTATGAGAAAATTACAAAATAAAGAGCTTGGACAACAATTATCGGACACTTACTTTTCTTATTTCCCTATGTAATAATGAGGGCACTCAGCATTTTCTTGTAATTGCTTGTTGCTTTCCAGGATCTAATTTGTTGATGTCCTTTGACATTATGACCTGAACAAGTGTTTACATATTCTTTTGTTGTTGTTACTGCATTTTTTTATAACTTCAAAAAAATATAATTTATGTAATGGTATTTAGAGTAAATTATTTGTTAAAACACTTAAATGTATAGTACTGATTCATTTATAGTGTTCGAAGATAATGTGACAGTATAAACATGGTTGTAAATATATGTGCATATAATGAGTGATGTAGTAGTGGATAATGTTAGAAGTATTTTAGAGCAAATATAGTAAGGTTAGGTATATTATTAATCAACACGGAATGCTTGATTAAGAGATCTCTTAATCAGTGATCCATATTGATTAAGAAAATGGTACTGTGGTGTTGAAATTAAATCAGTTTTCTTTTTTTATCTTTCAGTTCCTGGGGTCATTTTTTTTTTTTGGGGGGGGGGGGAGGTGGGGGAAGAGCTGATCTGTGTGGAGAGTTAAGTCTGTTCATACAGAAAGAGTTTTTTTTGACAATAACAGAAGTCTCAAAATTCTATCTTTTTACATGGAAAAACGGATTCGGGAAAGAAAAGAGCTGAACAGCAAAATTGGGGAAAAAAAAAAAATAAAAGAAATTCCACATTTCAAAGACTGGAAAAACACTAACTGCTTAAGATATCGTGTGTGTGTAGTTTGATCTTTTTGCAAGACTACATGTTGTAATTCTGCAAACACTTGAGTCATCCCATTGCATTTAGCAAACCTGATTCTTGGCTTGTGACGTTCAACACAAAAATAGTTGAGGTATCTGTAGATGGATATTACATTTATTTAGGAAAGTGCATGTCTGAAATTACTGAATTTTTACAGTGGGTTGTATAAAATGTCTTGTCTTCGTTTAAGCCACTGATGAGTTTGGGAGGGTGAGAGCACCAATAATCATAACTTCATAGTATAATAGTCCTCCGAGGTGCTTTATCTTCAATTTTACTTTTTTTTAAATGAAGAGTGTGTGTTGTGGAGATGGCTAGATAATCTAGGGATTGTGACTTAAAATGCCAAATGATTTGTTTTAAAATGCGCCATCACTGTAGTCTTGCTTTTCTGTTCTTCTCCCAGTGATAATTCTGGTTCCAGGATCTCACCATTCTGTGAAGGGTAAAAGCAAAATAAATGAATGCATTGTTTAGATACAGGAAATAGAAATTACAGATTTGTCTGTGTCATGTCACTGTACATAACTAACTCTCTTCTTTTTTGCATTTGTTTTTCAGCAGTTTCCCTGCATTTTTGTTAAGTACTCAGATTCCATATTAAAATTTTTTTCTAGGTAGATGATGAAGAGCTACAAGATGAGCCTCTCCAGATCACAGTTCTTGATCATGATACCTACAGTGCTAACGATGCCATTGGCAAAGTGTACATAGATATTGATCCTTTACTCTACAGTGAAGCAGCTACAGTTATTTCAGGATGGTTTCCAATTTATGATACCATTCATGGTAAGATTTGCTAATTTAAAAGTAAAACAATTGTTTGCGATGCAATCTTCTTCTTACAATCTTCATTTCTGTAAGCTGTTTTCAGAAATTTCTAATAATTTTGGACTTGGGAGATGCAAAGCTGCTTTTCTGGCATTTTCTTCCTTATTTCTGGCATCAGAAAATTTCTGGCATAGTAGTTCAGACTAGTGCTTGGCAGAACGCCTTCCACAGAACTTGTGACACATGGAAAAATTCTTCACATGGTATTTAAAATAGTCACTGCAAAATTCAGATTAAAAAAAAGACCCAAACATACTTCTGCAGTTACCATGTGTTTACTAAAAGAATATACTTTTGCTGAAGTCACTTGGGATTTGCCTTCCTGTGATGTTGGATAAACTTGACTTGAAATGAAGGGAGAGGCTGGGACATATCTTTAGCATAAAGTAAAGGATGAAATTCCTTTTCCCTGGAGAAAGTACTCTAAGTGCTAGGTAACTTTCATCAGAATATCTTGAAGGTATGAGAAAATGAAGTTAATGATATTTTTGCCTTTGATTTTAATGAGACACAGCTTTTGTCGCAGAAAGTCAAGGTTGGTTTACAGCAATTAGCTTGCTGCTTGAATACCTTATTGCAGAACATCTGTGTGGTTGTCATTAACACCCTTGTTCATTATCTAGTGTGAATTAAATGACCTAACTGTGTTCGAAGCCAATTATAAATTATTGTTGGGAAATAATTAATGATGTTTACCAGATGATCATCGTAACTGATTCGAAGTAATTTTTACATTTAAAACAGTTACATTGAGGAGTGTTTTTTTAGAAATATTGCATGTCTGTCTTTCTTATCCTTTTATTCTATTCACATTTTCCTATCATACATTTTCTTTTGAAGTTAAATTAGGTGAACACTTGTCTCGGTATGTGTACCGGTACCGAACACTTGTCTCGGTATGTGTATAACTTGTATGTCAGATAGAGTTAGATTTCTCTGTATTTTTCTAGATCTGTTAGTATTTCAGAGCTTTTTTTCTATTTAGGTAAAATTAGAATTCTTATATTTTTGTGCTCATACCAGTAGATTCTAATTATCTTGATGCTGGGCAAACAGTAATTGATGCTTCCTTAAAAAAAAAATCAATATAATGTTTATAAATTTTTATTTAAAAAAATATTTTTTTTTTTGCACCTCAACATGATTATTTGTGAAAATACATGAACCTAGGGCACTTCCTGTTACAGTAACTGAAGGCTTCTTTCTGTTGGCATTTTGGAAGATAAATCTAGGTGACTTTATTGCAATAACATTGGAGTCAATCTGTGAATCTAATGCTTTTGTTTGAGCGTCATAGGCTTATGTGATAAAGGCTTCTGAAGACACTAGAGATCAAACTCATCAAGAAGTTTAGTCCTTGATATGTCAGAACCTATAATATGTGAAATGATTTTGTTACTGAGTGGGGAAAAAGAAGAAAAAGCTCAGAGTGTGAAAATAGAAAAATCAAAAAGGAATGGCTGTGTGTTGAGGAAATACTCTGTTATTAATAAGGTTTAATTGTGGCCAAAAATTAAGATTTCTCTAAAAAGTCTGTAATACCTTATTTTTTATATATTTCTCCTTATAGTCAAAGTATTTTACAAACATTTACTGTGCCACTTTGTGGTTCTAGAAAGAACTGTACATTTTTCTCACTGGATTGAACTTCAGAACATAGCTTTACTGCGATTTTTGAAACCATTTCAGGGAGAAAATGTAAAAGCTTTTTGGTGTTGGTCAGAGCTTTTTGATGTGGACAGGACTTTAGATTCAAGGCATCTATACTCATGGTTAGCACTTCTGACCTTTTGTGCTGAGGGTGTCTTGGGATGGTCACGGTACTTAAATACTGATTTTATACCCTTCCTTCACTGGTGGTACAGGGCAAAGGAGCAGAGAGAGCACTTGTATGCTGCCGCAGAGGCCACTGCAGTATCGGGAGGCTGATGGCTTCTCTTTTCCCGATCCCATCTTTCTTCTAAAACCCTGTTCGGTGCAGCAGGTATTTGAGGACTGTTGTTTGCGTAGCTTCAGCCTCAAGGGCTTGGCAGAACTAGAAACTTGCTCTGAGATGGCATCTCTGCGGCAGACCTGAGAGGCAAGGAAATATCTTCCTGCTCCTCTGGCCCAGGCTAGAATTGACACATGAACTGCCAGTTGAACCGAGCTGTTCTAGCAGGTTTATAGTATGTTCTTTGCAGAAAAACTAACTCATTGGTAATAGAAAGAGCATTAATTACTCATAATAAGGAATAATTAATAGGGCTAGTTTTGTATTCATTTCTGATACAGCTTCTCCTTTTTCATGTTTTTTATTTATAGGTATACGTGGGGAGATCAATGTGGTGGTGAAAGTAGATCTCTTCAATGATCTAAACAGATTTAGGCAGTCATCCTGTGGAGTCAAGTTTTTTTGCAGTAAGTGCAGAGAAAAAAGTTTATTTGAACAGAAAATTCCCCAGCCCCTTCTTTTCTTTCTTTACCTATTCTGTCAATTTCCTTTCTTTGACCAGCTCATTGCGTAAGCCCAGTGGAGATTATGTTAAAGCCAGTAGCAAATGCAGAAAAATTAGTTTAGTTTAGTTTGCTTTTTTTAAATAACTTTTTACTGTTCATATTTCAAAACAATGTAAATAACTGTGTGTCCCGTCCGTCATGTCCCCCCCTCCTTAGCTATCTTAAGTTGCATTTCATTTGGGTGCATATCCTGTTATAGAGGCACAAAGTGAAAAGGTTTCATAATGGTGCACATGGTAACTGATATACTGGACAGTTACCTTATCGGTGTTCCAGGGTCTCCCGGAACAAAGCTGCTTGCCTATGTCAACAGAAAATTGTGTGGATTACTTTCTGGCATTGTTCACATCACTTTTTAAGTGTAATTTTCTGTTTTTCTTGAAATTCTGGGCTCATAGACTCATGCCTTGCATCTTTTATATGTATTTTTTTTCTTTAACAGCTACATCTATTCCTAAGTGTTACAGAGCAGTAATAATTCATGGATTTGTGGAAGAACTTGTAGTTAATGAAGATCCAGAATACCAGTGGATAGACCGAATTCGTACACCAAGGGCATCGAATGAGGCTAGACAGAGACTTATTTCCCTCATGTCAGGTATTAAACATGTAGGCTGTAATGGTTATTACTGCTTTTAAAAATATTCACCATTTAAATAAGTCACTTGCTTAAGACAAGGTTTTATATGATTTTTGGTATTAATTTTGTTTATTTTTTCAGTTCAAAGTATCTTCTGTTTCTGAAGGTTCTGTTGTCCTAACTGACGGCCAGAATGGCAGACTTTTTTTTTCCTTATTTCTTTTTTTTTTTCCCCCACTCCTTGATGAGCCGCGCTGCTGTCTAATTTGTTTATTGTTTTTAGCAAGGTCAAAGAAACCTGTGGAACTTTCTAGAAGATGTTCTTAACCCATGTGAAGAGTATTACTAGAATTTTGACTCAATTAGAATAGCAAACTACTCCACCCTCTTTGAACTACTTCGAAGTATGCGAACAAATATACACCATCTCAGATACAGTGTGTATTAATACTTATCTTACTCATCCTATCTTTTTGAAGTCAAGATTGGTTCATTATTTCTCAAGCATACTTCTGTATTGCCTTGCATGGATTCTGCAGGACATACCTGCAATTCCTGGAGAGACCAGTGATTAGCATCAGTTGATGTCTCCACAGTATCAATTATCCTCACAGGTTTTTGTGTTACTGATGCTTAAAACAGCAGTTGTGAACCAAGATCCTCCTGTTTCAGTGCTAATAGAACAGAACACCCCTACTCTAGAGTACCTGCGCACTAAGACAAGAGACAATCAATTGATAGAGGTGGACAACAGCCTCTGTTAACAAGTTTACAATAGGAACTTGTTCTGGTAATCTTAAAACCAAGCTTCTAGAAAGCAGTAGCAATCATTTCATTCCACTTGATTTCTTAATGTCATTGACGTTGGGACTGTTAGGCTATCCTCTGTGACAGTAAGGCTTTTTCAGTCTGTTAAGAGAGGATTTTGGAAATTTCATTTTCATCAGAAGAGAGATGGTATTTTCCAACTAGTATTGCCAAGGCTATCTAGCTACGTAGATCAATGAACTTCTCTTTTTTTTTTTATAACATCCTGATAAGTAAGCATCTACGGCAGACCGTTGTCTTATAGTTACAATGTTTCAGTCTTTGTGTGCAGCTAATAGAGGAGAGAGAAATTGAAGTCTTTTGTTTGCAGCGAAGGAGTGGCATATTTGGTATTGTGTTTTGTTTATTTGGTGTTACCTTTTGTACATCAGGCTGTCATATCTCTCTCCCAATAGGTAAAAAAGGGAAAAACTAATAAAAAGAGAAAAACAGAGAAAACCGTTTCTGAAATATCATGTTGTTTTGGAATTAGAATAGATTTGGAGAAAAAAGGAAAAAAGCGGTGCAAATTGTGAATATTACACTGTTATAGGAGGCAGGGATTGTGACCAGTGCTTGGCATAATTATGTAAGATTGTATCTATTACCTGTTTTACTGACTTGGTTGGGAGTTTCAAAAGCAGAGGCCAATGACCACAAAAGAGAATAGGGGAAGTTCACTGCAGTTATGAGCTCTTTACATTTTGTTTTGTAGGTGAATTGCAAAGGAAGATTGGCTTGAAGGTGCTTGAAATGAGAGGAAATGCTGTTGTTGGTTATTTGCAGTGTTTTGATTTGGAGGGAGAGTCTGGACTAGTAGTGCGAGCCATAGGAACAGCCTGCACGTTGGATAAAATAAGTAACACATCAGCATTTTTACCTGCATGTAACTCCCCATCCAAAGAAATGAAGGAGTAAGTATGAATTAAT